AAGGTCCTGGCTACAGGTCCTGGCTACTGTCCTGAATAAAGCCCTGGCTACTGTCCTGAATAAGGCCCTGGCTACTGTCCTGAATAAGGCCCTGGCTATTGTCCTGAATAAGGCCCTGGCTACTGTCCTGAATAAGGCCCTTGCTATTGTCCTGAATAAGGCCCTTGCTACTGTCCTGTAAGGCCCTGGCTATTGTCCTGAATAATAAGGCCCTGGCTACTGTCCTGAATAAGGCCCTGGCTATTGTCCTGAATAAGGCCCTGGCTACTGTCCTGAATAAGGCCCTGGCTACTGTCCTGAATAAGGCCCTGGCTAGTGTCCTGAATAAGGCCCTGGCTACTGTCCTGAATAAGGCCCTGGCTACTGTCCTGAATAAGGCCCTGGCTACTGTCCTGAATAAGGCCCTGGCTACTGTCCTGAATAAGGCCCTTGCTACTGTCCTGAATAAGGCCCTGGCTACTGTCCTGAATAAGGCCCTGGCTATTGTCCTGAATAAGGCCCTGGCTACTGTCCTGAATAAGGCCCTGGCTATTGTCCTGAATAAGGCCCTGGCTACTGTCCTGAATAAGGCCCTGGCTACTGTCCTGAATAAGGCCCTTGCTTCTGTCCTAACTTAGGCCATGACTACTGTCTTGAAGGGTTCAAGTATAGTCGACCCATTACCTCTTTACCTGAATCGCTATGTGTTGTATTTAGAATACAAATAAACTATATATAATTTGATCGTCATTCATAATTATACCCAATTTTATCCTCAATCAACAGGGCTGAAAACACGATCATCTCGAAACTGTGGATGAACGTACGGACTGATCACGAACGGATAATGGACGGACGATTGGTTTAAAACTTCGCTCTATGTATACCGTACAATATTTTTATTCTGCTATATTTTAAGAAGAAATACATCCTTTACATTTTATTGTTTCACCATATTAGAAAGTTTGATTTCATATGTTAATAGTGTGAAGGTCACTGTATTTCAAACAGCACATTATTCATGGAAACAAAAAAAAATCCTGCTTCTTACATTTTCTCTTGTTAATTGGTGTGATAACATCAGTTACCACAGGAAGGTATGTTATAAAGTTGTCTTTATGCACATTAAATTTCTTAATGAAGTAAGTACACATGTACCACCCAATGCTTTTAGTTTTAAACAAATATTCTGTCAAAAAAGGGAGATACGAAAATTAATAATAAACTGAAAGTGTCTGGAAAGCATACTCACATCTTCACAAAACGATGTAAGATTAAGAAAGGTGCTTCTAAGGAATACCATTGAGTATAAACATATACTAAAGAGTAGTAAGGTATATAATGATAGGTAGCATTTGTAAGCTTACAGATATAAAGAGTTTAAGGGAAATGTTCAGTACGAAAACTGTATTTTTTCTGGTTGTAGTTTATCAAATATTAGGTATCAGACGATGGGAAAATGTTATAGGTGCCGAGTATTATGTATCGTAAGTGTTTTTTAGAGCTCTTAGCTATATGTATAAATCAATTGGTGTTTAAGGTTGTCAATGTAAGCCATGTCAACGTCGTCGTAATGATATTAAAGTTTATACAAATCAATGTGACACGTTTAATCAACTAAATCTCATAATTTGATCTCCGAAAGCACACTTCTTAATCTCAGCTATTTATCTGTACGAGTTTTACTTCGGTTATAACAGCCTTCAACCAGATGAGAAAAATAGGAAAATTATTAGAACTAGGTAATGTGAAAGAAAAAAGGGAAATGTATGTTTTATAGTCATAATGATAGAATTCCTTCGTAGCAAAGAAACAGATATTGTTTAGTGAAGGGATTTCCGAATTCGTGCGGAATTATAAAGTTTTGGCGAATTTGTAATCTTCATTAATATCTTAAAAAAGACACTCAGAGTAACAATAAACATTTTCTTGGATTCTAAAATACATTCTTTTTATCCCGGTCTCCTTGTCATGGTTTTCATTATGTATTAATAATGAACAAAATTTCGAAGATTGAAAATCTTACTTAATCACTCAGGTGATATACATTGTACATGTAAGGGACAAAAGACAGAAGATAAGGCTAGGGATAGCACATGTGTAACAGACTACAAAGCGGAGGACAGTAACTCTGTTACAAAATACAAAGCCGAGTAAAGTAAATATCTAACAGTGAAAAAAAAAGGCCGGGGACGGTAAATATTTAACAGAACAACAGGCCGGGTACAGTAAATATTTAACAAGAACACAAAGCCGGGGACAGTAAATGTATAACAGGGACACAAGGTCGGGGACAGTAAATATTTAACAGGGACACGAGGCCGGGGACAGTAAATGTATAACAGGGACACAAGGCAGGGGACAGTAAATATTTAACATGAACACGTGGCAGGGGACAGTAAATATATAACAGGGACACAAGGTCGGGGACAGTAAATATTTAATGGGGACACGAGGCCGGAGACAGTAAATGTATAACAGGGACACAAGGCCGGGGACAGTAAATATTTAACAGTGACACGAGGCCAGGGACAGTAAATATTTAACAGGGACACGAGGCCGGGGACAGTAAATATTTAATGGGGACACGAGGCCAGGGACAGTAAATATTTAACAGGGACACGAGGCTTGGGACAGTAAATATATAACATGAACACGAGGCTTGGGACGGTAAATATATAACATGAACACGAGGCTTGGGACAGTAAATATATAACATGAACACGAGGCTTGGGACGGTAAATATATAACATGAACACGAGACTGGGGACAATAAATAACAATCAAAGTGATCTGAAATGGATATTGTTCTCCAGTTGTTCAATAAACTGTCCAGCTACAGTTTTAATATTAATTGGTACCGTTTTAATATGATACTTTGTAATATAAATACCCTACCAGCTGTTGTGGTCAGGTTGCAACGGCAATGCATGGGATAATTGTCAACACCACTGTATAATGTCTATACCAGTCAATATATAAAATAATATGGCTCCAGTAGTAATGGGAAACGCGGTGTGGCTGGTGCTTAACTGTCAATTATTAACAGCCAGTAAAACAATTATAACAAATTTAACCTTAAACGATTTTAGGATAAACAATTTTGTGAGCTTTCGATGTCCAAGAACATTTTGATTAAATCATTAGAATAATAAACATGAAAAAGGATCAGCTCATTAACGTTAAGGAAATGAAAAGGATTGATCAAAAAGACTACTGAAACGTCTCATGAACAGATAATGTCCCAGACGACTGATCAACACGTGTTCAGATGTCCCAGACGACTGATCAATACGTGTTCAGATGTCCCAGACGACTGATCAATACGTGTTCAGATGTCCCAGACGACTGATCAATATGTGTTCAGATATCCCAGACAACTGATCAACACGTGTTCAGATGTCCAACGTCTGATCAACACATGTTCAGATGTCCCAGACGTCTGATCAACACGTGTTCAGATGTCCCAGACGACTGATCAATACGTGTTCAGATGTCCCAGACGACTGATCAACACGTGTTCAGATGTCCCAGACGACTGATCAATACGTGTTCAGATGTCCCAGACGACTGATCAACACGTGTTCAGATGTCCCAGACGACTGATCAACACGTGTTCAGATGTCCCAGACGACTGATCAACACGTGTTCAGATGTCCCAGACGACTGATCAATACGTGTTCAGATGTCCCAGACGACTGATCAATACGTGTTCAGATGTCCCAGACGACTGATCAATATGTGTTCAGATATCCCAGACAACTGATCAACACGTGTTCAGATGTCCCAGACGTCTGATCAACACATGTTCAGATGTCCCAGACGTCTGATCAACACGTGTTCAGATGTCCCAGACGACTGATCAACACGTGTTCAGATGTCCCAGACGACTGATCAATACGTGTTCAGATGTCCCAGACGTCTGATCAACACGTGTTCAGATATCCCAGACGACTGATCAATACGTGTTCAGATGTCCCAGACGACTGATCAATACGTGTTCAGATGTCCCAGACGACTGATCAATACGTGTTCAGATGTCCCAGACGACTGATCAATACGTGTTCAGATGTCCCAGCCGACTGATCAACACGTGTTCAGATGTCCCAGACGACTTATCAGCACGTGTTCAGATGTCCCAGACGACTGATCAACACGTGTTCAGATATCCCAGGCTTTAGATCAACATATGTGCATATGTCCCAGGCGTCTGATCAACACATGTACGTATGTCCCAGGCGTCTGATCAACACATGTACATATGTCCCAAACGTTTAACCAACACGTGAATGCATTTCAAAATTGTCTGATCATCACATGTACACATGTTCCAGACGTCTGATCAACACGTGTTCAGATGTTCCCGCTAATCGATAGCTGTCATATTTCGAAAACACCTGACCAACACCCGAAAGTCACAACCCTCACCTGAAACATCTTAATGACTGACCAACACCCGAAAGTCACTACCTTCACGTGATGCATCTTAACGTCTGACCAACACCCGAAAGTCACCACCTTCACGTAAAACATCTTAACGTCTGACCAACACCCGAAAGTCACTACCCTTACGTGATGCATCTTAACGTCTGACCAACACCCGAAAGTCATTACCTTCACGTGTTGTACAATTATATATCATATATTACAAGCTTTTTTCATATATTTTTTAGAATCATGTAGTGATCGTTTTAATATAGGGAGTGCACAGTTCTAGATCACCAAGTGTCCGTTTTAGGTATGTGTACATGTTGTACTCCATTTACCTACATAGTATATTGTTTAATAGTGGTAGGTATAACAAGATCAGATAGAATGCATGTAGTGGTTTATTGTCAGTTATACTATATAACATTACGTACCTTTTAAGTACATACTTCGTAATACTAGGCAGGATTCATGTGATGAATACACTCGCCGAAAACTGAGAAGAGATTGTTTTAATTATCGTGACTGTTACCGAGTGATAAAATTTCTAGGAGTAGTTATCGTCTGTTATACAAGCTAGATACAGTACATACCTGGGTACCTAGGGTAGAAATAGTTGGAGTAACGCTCCGACATCCATGGCTGGAGACTTCGGACGTCCCTGGAGGCCGGATTGATAACGAGAGGATGAAGAGGCCCACCTTGTGGGCTGTGAGGGTACACAGAGTGGATGTTGAGCGGGGATAATGGGTGGCGACACATCCGGGGATGGAAGTATGTTCCCGTAGCCCCCGAGGTCTGTGCCAACACATCATGAAGATGCTTTAAACTGTCCATGCTTGGATGATGTAACGAATGTTTGTCCGCTATATGATACGAATGAACGGACGTTTCCCTACTAAATTCACTTTCTCCGGATGAACGGACATCCTCCTCTAGCCGGTGTCGTGGACTGAACACACCCTCTTGTTTTTCTCTATAACTAGATGACTGTTTTTCTTCTAATGTATGTTGAACTTTGTCTTTGGAATGGTCGGTTGGTCGCCCGGACAATGTCCGGCCATTTTCGCACCTGTCATTTTGTTTACCTATAATGGAGTCTATAGTGAACCCAACAGACTTTTTTCTACAAGTATCACCAGACACCGTAGCAGACATTGTTCCGTTTTCGTTAGAGAGTCCTCTGACGTTTTCGCCCTTCTTACGTATTTACAACACGATTACACGTACATGTAAATATATGTTCACTCTTGGAAAACATGGACAGATGTGGAAGCTATACGAGTGTGCTCGCTGAACCAAACAACTACAAACACACACATACACAGGAGTAGGTGTTTATGGTCTTAACTCCACAGCCAATGTCAGGTTAAGCTTCGTTGAGTCAGGAGTGGCCGTGTTTAATAAACTCATGCTTATGAATATTTTCCAGCCAATAGGAAAAGATTTTCTTTGTAGGCGTAACTCCCCCAGTCGTTAGCGCGTCCATTGATCAATATATAGCAGCAATTTGGCCGCTCTATTTTCCTTGTTGCAGTGGAGGATTAAGAAAATTAATAAAAGTCATAACAGACTACCTCGGTGTTACTGCACACGAGCCACACGAGCAAATCTGTAATAAACGTACAATACAGAGCATGTTTTACTTGTAAAAGGTGTCCTCTTTCAATAATTCAATGATTAAAACAAAACAAAAAAAATTGGTAGTTGAAGTTTAATCCTGTTTGTTTTAAGTACATAACGGAGCATGATGCTGTTGTTTTTGGAAACTTTCCTTTTTAAATCAATACTGGTAATTCACAACTCATCCATTCCCGTTGGGTAGTTTGCTGTAATTGGTTAACGCTCGAGAAAGTCAATAACCCTTGATGAATATTAATGAGTTTGTCTGATGTGAATTAGCCTCTATAATTTCTATCTCTATGTTATGTTTCCTGTGTTATAACTCAGCTTTGTTAACTTCTGTCGTGTACTATAAATCAAAATAAAAGCGTTCTTTCTTTACAAATTATATAGATCATTTGTTAATTGATTTGATGCCGACATCATACAAACCATTTCCATCTTTCCGTCTTGTTCCATCAGAAAAGCTTGTGATGAAAAATAGCAATTTTACAGCAGTTGATTCAGTCAATTAGAAACTATGACATTACTGTTTCTTGGACACTGTCGTGATTGGTTTAAGTATCCCTGACATGTAAGGAACATTTATTGTATGTTAATGGGAAATCATATGCGTTTGATAGGAAAACTCAAAATTATTTGAAAACGCTGAATTCTTTATTCTTACTTTTTTTTAGTTAAAATTGATTTATCATTTTGAAAAGATAAAGTTTAATAAATTGTAGTTTGTTTAGAAAGAATTACTTGAACCTGTTTAAATGATAATTGTGATACTGATACATGTAGCCAAATATGCAGACTTACAGGGATTAAACGTTATCGCCATTTTCAAAATTCGTGTTATATTTATATGACTTTTTTTCTATGACAGACAGCAGTTGAATGAACATACAAAATAAGCTAGATTCTGATTGTATTACATGTAGGTACCACATATTTGATTAGTCATTGATTAACACCATATTAAGAATTACATATAGATTATTTTATGTCCATTGAATATGCATCATATTTCAGAGAAGTAAATTTCAGATTTTCTTGTATAAAATTCGCAAATGATAGGAGCCACTTATCGATAACTAATAATTCACCATACTTTTGTGTGTAAGATGGGTGTATATTCAATTTGTTCTTGTTTACATGTTGAAGGTAAAGTGTTATTTTATCTATGACTCTTCACCATTGGAGGTAAAAAAGAGACTAATGGAGACAGAGAATGTTCTAAATATGGGACCAATATTAACCCCTTTAAAGTTATTTGAAAAAAAAGTTTTCTATCGATAGATATAATTATTGTATAATTTAATTCGAAAACTCTTTGTTCTGTTTGCCTAGATTTATCTGAGTATTCAGTGATAAACAAGGTGATATGACTGCGTGATATAGCTTTGCCTTATTTACACAATGCGAATGATAATGGGGCAGATTGTGGAAATACGGGAACATCTACAAGTTTAATTTTCAAACGTATAAGGCGATTCCATTAATTGCGATTAAGTTCACAAAATAAATAATGTGCCAGCTACATAATCGCCACTCAAGAGTGTGAAATATACCAATTTAAATCAGTATAAAAGTGTAATAAAGTCCCTGTCTAATTAAGTATAAAAGCTATGAGCTCTCGTGGTGCCATTTAGCTCCTCAGGGACAGCAATGCTAATTTGGCTTCTCTTTCTTTTGAAACGTAATTAATTGATATATTTGCAGTTCACAAATGCCTCTCACCGAGAGTAAATCATCGCGTATCTCTGCATGTATAGCATAGCTACATATGTAAGTAGTACAAATTATAACTCAGAGAAGATCTTATATAGGACTTTACATTGTACATTGTTTCACATGCACAGCCCATAACAAGATAGAGTTGCACAATTTATGATAGGTACAACCTGCAATATCAAAGGTACAGCCTTTAACTTTGTAAGATAGTATTACACTTTTATATGTATCAAAGAGTACCAGGAAAATACTCACAAGTCAACATATTTATAATCCAAACTAAATATCAATAAAATCAGGGAAATATAAACAAAAGAAAGATTTGCACGAAGACTCTTGTAGAAGTACAAGGAAAATAAAACCAGGTATTCCGGAAGAGTAAGCTTCTAAAGCTTGGTACAGCTCACAGACTATCAAGATAGTATTTAACATTGCAATATGTCAAAGGCACAGCCTATAGCATATCGATATAAAATTTTGTATTTCATCACAGGATCAGTCTGTAACTTATTGATATAAGATTTTACATTTTATCTGAGGAACATTGTACAACTAACAATCTATCGAAATTTTACATGGTAGGCACAGCCTACAACCTGGATTAGATTTAATATTATATCATAAATACAGCCTATATTCTATGAAAACTGCTTTTATACAGCCTACATCATCTCGGGATAGGATTTTATACAGCTTACACCATCTCGGGATAGGATTTTATACAGCATACAATATCACGGGATAGGATTTTATACAGCCTACATCATCTCAGGATAGGATTTTAAATAGCATACGACATCATGGGATAGGATTTAAAACAGCCTACAACATCTCAGGATAGGATTTTATACAGCCTACATCATCTCCGGATAGGATTTTATACAGCATACAACATCACGGGAAATGATTTTATACAGCCTACACCATCTCGAGATAGGACTTAATACAGCCTACATCATCTCGGGATAGGATTTTATACAGCTTACACCATCTCGCGATAGGATTTTATAAAGCCTACATCATCTCGGGATAGGATTGTATACAGCCTACAAGATCACGGGATAGGATTTTATACAGCCTACAACATCAGGGGATAGGATTTTATACAGCCTACACCATCTCCGGATAGGATTTTATACAGCCTGCACCATCTCCGGATAGGATTTTATACAGCATACACCATCTCCGGATAGGATTTTATACAGCATACACCATCTCCGGATAGGATTTTATACAGCTTACACCATCTCCGGATAGGATTTTATACAGCCTACACCATCTCGGGATAGGATTTTATACAGCTTACACCATCTCCGGACAGGATTTTATACAGCCTACATCATCTCAGGATAGGATTTTAAACAGCATACAACATCATGGGATAGGATTTAAAACAGCCTACAACATCTCGGGATAGGATTTTATACAGCCTACATCATCTCCGGATAGGATTTTATACAGCACACAACATCACGGGAAAGGATTTTATACAGCCTACAGCATCTCGAGATAGGACTTAATACAGCCTACACCATCTCGGGATAGGATTTTATACAGCTTACACCATCTCGGGATCGGATTTTATACAGCCTACATCATCTCGGGATAGGATTTTATACAGCTTACACCATCTCGGGATAGGATTTTATACAGCCTACATCATCTCGGGATAGGATTTTATACAGCATACAACATCACGGGATAGGATTTTATACATCCTACAACATCACGGGATAGGATTTTATACAGCCTACAACATCACGGGATAGGATTTTATACAGCCTACAACATCACGGGATAGGATTATATACAGCCTACACCATCTCCGGATAGGATTTTATACAGCCTACACCATCTCCGGATAGGATTTTATACAGCCTACACCATCACGGGATAGGATTTTATACACCCTCATACCATCACGGTAAAGGATTTTATACAGCCTACACCATCTCCGGACAGGATTTTATACAGCCTACATCATCTCAGAATAGGATTTTAAACAGCATACAACATCATGGGATAGGATTTAAAACAGCCTACAACATCTCGGGATAGGATTTTATACAGCCTACATCATCTCAGAATAGGATTTTAAACAGCATACAACATCATGGGATAGGATTTAAAACAGCCTACAACATCTCGGGATAGGATTTTATACAGCCTAAATCATCTCGGGATAGGATTTTATACAGCCTACACCATCTCGGGATATGATTTTATACAGCCTACACCATCTCGAGATAGGATTTTATACAGCTTACACCATCTCGGGATAGGATTTTATACAGCCTACGTCATCTCGGAATAGGATTTTATACAGCCTCACACCATCACGGGATCGGATTTTATACAGCCTACAACATCTCGAGATAGGATTTTATACAGCGTACTCTATCTCGGGATATGATTTTATACAGCCTACACCATCTCGGGATAGGTGTTTATACAGCCTATTCTATCTCGGGATAGGATTTTATACAGCCTACACCATCACTGAATAGGATTTTATACAGCCTACACCATCTCGGGATAGGATTTTATACAACCTGCTCTATCTCGGGATAGGATTTTATACAGCGTACACCATCTCGGGATAGGATTTTATACAGTCTACAACATCTCGGGATAGGATTTTATACAGCCTACACCATCTCGGGATAGGATTTTATACAGCCTACTCTATCTCGGGATAGGATTTAATACAGCATACACCATCTCGGGATAGGATTTTAAACAGCCCACTCTATTTCGGGATAGGATTTTATACAGCGTACACCATCTCGGGATAGGATTTTATACAGCTTACACCA